CCCACTTCCCCTTTGCCCCTTTTCTTCCTATTTCACTTTATCTATTATACGTTTTAATCCTTATTTACACTTTCAGTTTCTCACGCTAGAGAAACTATTCGGTATTTACACATGTGCCCTATTTATTTCACTTAAGAGTATCACCTAGTGTGCATCCATTTAGCTATAAATGTCTCTAATCTATCCTTCTTTATGGCTGAGTAGTACTCCATTTTATAGAAAAACCACATTTTCTTTATCCAGTCTCCAGTTGATGGGCACTTGGGCTGCTTCCAAGTTTTAGCTATTACAAACTGTGCTGCTATGAACATGGGTGCACATCTATCCCTGTGGTATGAGTCTTTTAATTCTTTGGGGAAGATACCCAGCAGGGGGATGGCTGGGTCAAATGAGCTTGGTGAGTTCTTGAATAGCAAGAAGGCCATGGGGCCTGCAGCAAAGGAAGCGCGGCAAGGGAGGGTAGAGGCAAGGTCAGGAAGAAGAAAAAGCTAAGTGGATCATCCAGGCTCACAGAGCTGGCCCTCAGTGGGGCCGGCACGTGAAGAAGGGCCGGCTGGAGGAGGGTGAGCAGGACACAGGGGTGAGGATGAGGACCTAAGGGATCCCAGGAGCCTTCCGGAACACAGAGGGACAGGAGAAGCACTCAGCTGCCTCTCAAAGCCGAGGGACGGGCTGGCAGGGGTGAGAGCGCCCCCTGGTGGTCAGCAGATTAGGCATTGCCATGCCCATGGGGAATCCCCAGCAGGTGCGGGATGCTCGCGTGCTCTGGCCAGACAGGTGTGCCAGGTGTCCCAGGTGTGCCGGGTGTGCCTCTGTCACCAAGCCACCCTGGCCTCATCCAGCCTGGTTCAAGTCCGGACTCCATTGGCCCCGAGCTGCTTGATCCTTAACCCAAGCCCCCCACCTTCTCATCTGTCAGATGGGGGCGCAGCCACAAGGCTGCAGCGAGGACTTCAGGACTCGCCTGGGCAGTGTGCAAAGGGTTGGGCACAGAGTGGACACTGTGTGAGTCTCCTGTACCATCACCATCGTCATTGCTTTGTCACTCTTGTCTTCAGGTCACCACTGCTCTCAGACCAAGGGCCTCAGAGGATGCAGTCCCCTCAGCAGTGGCTCCTGGTCACCAGGCTCCTAGCTGTGGCTCATCAGCTGGCCCTGGCTGATGGAGGAGACTCTGGCCTCCTGGACCCTGGCCCCCAGGACACCCCACCTGGGCCAGCCCTGCCGTGCCACAAGATCGCCGTGAGTAACATAGACTTCGCCTTCACCCTCTACAGACAGCTGGCTCGGGACTCCCCGCAAGAGAACATTCTCCTCTCCCCAACCAGCATCTCCATGGCTGTGGCCTCGATTTCCCTCCGGGCCCCAGCAGCCAGCAGGGAGAGGCTTCTGGAGCCCCTGGGCTTCAATCTCACCGTGGTGGCCGAGGCCAAGATCCAGGATGGCTTCCGGGACCTCCTGCTCAGGCTGCCAGTGCAGGGCTCTCGGCTTCTCCTGAGCACCGGCCAGCACAGGTCCAGCAGCCTGGGCCCCGGGGCCACCCAGGACCTGGAGGAGGCCTGGAAACACGTGGACAAACACATAGATAAGCAGACCCAGGGCAAGCTTGGGACCTGGGGAAAGGACCTTGAGAACGAAACCACAGAAGTTCTGGTGAATCATGTGCTTCTCAGAGGTAAGGGCATGTTGGGGGTCCTCTAACATCAGCCCCTTCCAAGAATCGGGCTCCCTCCCCACCCGAGCCTGCTCCCCGAATCAAATAGGAACCCTCTTTGGCCTATCTCAATTTAGAGATAAAAGACATGCAGTGCCTGTCCACTGACTCCTTGATGCTTCTGCTTGAATACCTCTAGTGATGGGGAACCCATCACTTACCATATTTTAATGCTACTTGTGGACTTTGCTTTCAAAGGAGGATTTTTCAACCTCTAGAGTGCATAAGAACCCCCTGCAGAGCTTGTTTGAAATGCAAGTATCCCACACTGCCCCTAAGTGATTCTGGTTCAGTGGATGTATAAATCTGAGCCCCAGGGCCCTGCATTTGAAGAAACTCGCCCCTGACACATACACCCAGGTGATTCTGCTTCAGAGCCTGTGAATTCACTTTGAGTAGACCCCTAAGCAACCCCTGGATTTAGGAACATGAATTCCCTTCCTCAGGCAGGCTCAGGAGGTGTGGTTAGAGATTAGGGCAGGAAGATGGGGGAAAGGTTCTTATTTTTCCAAACAAGGTAAGAGGCCTTGTGTTTCCACCACTGTTCTTGCCAACATATATTTACACTCACGATCCCTTTTTACCCCCTCACCTGAGTGATATGGGCAGCTTCATCTCCCAGAGGAGGTTAAGGTTAATGTTTCCATTTGAGAGAAGAAAAAACAGATTTTCACAAAGAAGAAAACTTACTTGCGTAACCTAGCGAGTGTGTCAGTCTGTGCATATTGATGGACCGCGTGCATAGATGATGGTGTTGTTATTCACAGACAGCACCGTGCATACTTAGTCTTTGTTTACTTGTGTCAAACTCCAACAAGGTAGATACTATTCCACTACTTGTCAGATGAGGAAACCGAGGCACAGTGAGTTCACCATCAGAGCCTCACCTTCCAATGCACACCCTCCTTCAGAGGAGCGTGTGCCCCAAGAATAATGTTTTTCTTCAATGTGAGCCGCTTCCCAGAGAGATGAAGGGGAAGGGGCGACATTAGTCAGTCAGCTTCTCATCACTGTAACAAAATACCTCAGTTAATCCACTTGCAAAGAGCAAAGGTCCGCTTGGGCTCACGGTCTGGGAGGCCCAGTCCGTGTTTGCTTGACACCAGTATTTTGGGCCCGGGACGAAGCCCACATCGTGGGGATAGTGTGTGGTGGAGCGAGAGGCTTACCTCAGGGCCAGGATGTGGAAAGAGCACAGGAATACAGCGGGTCCCTAAATCCCCTTCCAGAATCCCTTGCCAGTGCCTGAGACCTCCCCCGCCCCCCGGCCGACCTCTTACATGCTCTGCCCCTCCCAGGGGCACCAACCTGCAGACCCCGAGACCAGGACTGCAGCGAGCATGATGCACTCATGCAGTGTGACCCTGCCGTGCTACTGCAACAGTGTGCTGTGGTATTGATCGCTTTACAGACCAATGGGCACAAGGAGGCCAAGGGCTCAGCCCTCAGGGTCACCTAGGCCAAAGAAGACCAGTTAGGAGCAAGTCATTGGGCTGGGCATCCAGGGTGCAGGCTGCAGGCCACAGCCCAGCTGACCTCCCCGAGGTGTTGCTCTTCTCTGTAGCTGGGTGGGCAAAGCCCTTTGACCCACAGGGCACTAGCCTGCGGGGGTTCTCTTTGGAACAGCACAAAGCTGTGCAAGTCCCCGTGATGAAGCAGCAGGCCCGAGTCCACTTCCTGCGGGACCCTGAGCTGCAGTGCAGTGTGCTGCAGATGGACCATGCTGGGAACGCCACCACCTTCTTCGTCTTCCCCGACCTCAGCACCCTAGGGCAGCTGGAAGAGGCGCTGCAGCTGGAGACGCTGATCAAGTGGAACCGTCTGCTCAGGACCAGGTAGCCCAAGGGCACTGTCACCCTGGAACATGGCCACCACCCAGGGCATGGTAACCCTTGTCCTGGGCACAGCCAGCTCTAGGTGATGTTCCTGACTTCCCAAAGGTACGAGTACTGGGAACGGGCCCTGGACCGAGAGTTGGGAAGTGCACCTGGCCTCAGCTCTGCTGCAAACCCAGTGGGAGCCTGGCCAGTGCTGTCCCCTCGCTGGGCTTTGGTTTTCTCGGTGGCTGAAGAGCAGTTAGAACAGGGACTCATAAACTCTGAGAAGCAGGAAATGCTGTCCCTTCGTATAACAGCAGGTGAGGTCTGGCTGCACTGCTGTGGTTGGCCAGGCTGCGGGCAAGTAAAGAAAACTGGGCAGAGCAGTCTGGTTGGGAAAGGGCTGTCCAGGACAGGACTCTGCACGTGCAGGCGCAGGAAGGCGAACGGCCTGGCTGCCCAGGAAACAGGGTGCTCAGGCCATCCAGGCTCGAGTGTGCTGGGGGAGGTCGGGAAGGAAGGTGTGCAAGGCTGACGTCCTGGCTCAGCAGGCGGGCGAAGACGAAGGGAGCCCTGGATGGATGCTGAATTGGAATTGGGGGTGGGGACGTTTTATTGGAGTCTCTGGCCGCCCCGTGGAGAAAGGGCTGGACGGGCAAGTGGGGCAGAGACCAGAGGCAGGGCAGGAAGAGGGGCACAGACGCTTCCGGGATCACAATTGCCACGGCAAACCAATTTCCGCCTCTGTGCAGAGGCCTCGCTTTCTATTTCCCCAAGTTTTCCGTTTCCAGCTCCTCCAGGCTGGAGCTGCTGCTCCCCCTCGTGGCCGTAGGCGGAAGCCTCCCAGGACAGCCTGCCCTACATGTCCCAAGGTGAGTTAGGAAGGAAGCTAGACTCAGGGTTCTCTTCGCGTCTGTGTGTGAGGGAGGGGAACAGTTACCTTGGGACAGGGCCTTCGCACTGAGTTACATCTCCAGCCCCTTTTTAATTTTTTATTTTGAGACGAAATTGCCCAAGCAAGACAAATTTGCAGTCTTTCTGCCTCAGCCTCCCGCTTTGGTTTCTGTTTGGTTTGGTTTGGTTTTGCACTGGGGATTGAGCCCAAGGCCTTGTCCCCTTCCCATCCCCCGGGACATTCAGCCGGTGCTGCTGTTTCTCAGGGGACCCACGGCACCTCCCAGCAGACTGACGAGGGCAGTGCTGCTGTCCCATTGTGCAGATGAGGAAACTGAGGCTTAGCAGGTATCTTTGTCCATTTTCTGCTTTTGTAGTGGAGTGCTATGGGCTGGGAAATTTATAAACAGTAGAAGTCTATTCTGGTCATGGCTCTGGAGGCTGGGAAAACCGAGACCCAGGAACGGCATCGGGTGAAGGCCTCCTGGCCATGGCCCGGCTCGGTGGGAAGACAAGCGAGCCCAGCGAGTCGGAGAGAAAATGGGGCTAAACCCACCCTTTCCCCCAGAAGCCTCCATGAAAACTGACCACTCCCACAGTTGCCCCAGCTTCTGCCCCCAGCATCCCTGCCCAGCCTTGTCCCCTGCTGTCCCTCCCTCCCTCGGCAGACTGTTTTCAGACCACCTCGCAGGCCTTCCCACCTCCAAACACGCAAACTCTACTTGCCACTCATGGCCCTGAGTAAGTGCATGTTGCTACTTCACTTCTTCCGTGCAGACTTCTCTAATCTTACTCCCAGGCAGAAGCACATTCTCTCCTGGTAACTCTCTGGCTCACGTTTAGGCGTTTTCCTTCCTTGTCCGGCCATGAGCCTTTGGGAGTCATCCCCATTCGTTTCCTAGTCCCTACTGCACCGAGACATTGGGTTGCAAACAGCGGGTAGGTCCTCCGTAAATGCTTACTGAATACATTCATGAATGAATGAGTGATGGGATGAATGAAAAGGAATTATCAGATTGAAGTGAATGAAAGGATCAGTAAGTAGTGATGGGAGGAAAGAGTGGGTGTGTGGAGCAACAGATGGAGACGGGAGTAGTTAGGCGCTGGTGTGACGTTCCAAGTGCACCACAACTAACAATGCAGATGCCAGGCACGAGGATGTAAATACCTGCGTAGACAGGTGGATAGGTGAATGGATAGATGAATAGTGGATAGACGGAACCATGGATGGGGATGGCTGGGCAGGTGGGTGGGTGGATGGGTGAGTGGATGGGTGGATGGGTGGGTGAGTAAATGGGCAGAAGGATGGGCATGTGAACACAGGAGAGGCGGGCAGGTATAGCTATGGATACGCAGATGGTTCGCAGTTACGTGGATGGATTATGGTTTGCTGGGTGTGTGGATGAATAAATAAGTAAGTAGGTCAATGATGGGTGTAGTAGATAGATAAGTAAATTTTTCAGAAAGTTATTTTAGGTAGAAGAAAGGGTGGGTGGTAAGTGAACAGTATATGGTTGTGTAAAGGAATAGAAGGAAAACTGGGATTAAAGTCAAGGCACAGCTGGTCCTTCCTGTGGGGTGGATCGATGATTCCAGAATTTGCCTTGCAGGTGACTCATCAGCCCAGGATGACAGTGGGCGAGGAGGGCTCTGAGGCCGCCGCCACCACCGCTGTTCAGCTCACTCCCAGACCCCACCTGGATGCTGAGGCCCCAGCACTGCCGGGCCCTGCTGAGCTCAGCAGGCCCTTCCTGCTGATGACTTTCCACACAGAAACAGGCAGCATGCTTTTCCTGGGGAAGGTCGTGAACCCCCTGGGTTAGTGCACCCCCAGATCAGCCTGGTAACTTGGAGCCAAAGAAGGAGAGATGGTACTGGGGACTCAGGCATCATCCAAGTCTCTGGGTCACCTGGTGACGTGGCCAGATTGTCTGAAAAGCAGCATCCTTGGAAATGAAATGGGAGCCATCCTGAAGTGGACACAGGCAGGCAGGCAGCCTTGCACAGCTTCCCGCCGCTGACCACTGGCCCCAAGCCAGGGAGCTATGGTTGCAGAATCAAGTCTGATGATAGATTGCATACGGCCTGTTCATTGGTGTGGTTTCCATGGGAACCTATGGGGATGCACATAGGAAGAGGGACTGGGGTCAAGCCCACTGGAGATAGACTCTAACTACAATAGAGGGGATACCTGTTATGGACCAGGTTCTTCACATGTTATGTCCCATTTAACATAAATTCTCACTACAACCCAACAAAGTTAAGTATTAGGCTAATGCATTAGCAGCTTTCTCATTGCTGGGCAAAATACCTGACCCCCCAACTTAAAGGGGACAACATTTCATTTGATTCATGGTTTCAGAGGATTCAGTCCATGGTCAGCTGACTCCAAGGCAAAAACATCATGGCAGAAGGGTATGGCAGAGCAAAGCTGCTCACTTCATGGCAGCCAAGAAGCAGAGCAGGGAAAGAGAGGAAGGGACCAGGGACCAGATACAGTTCCCAAAGTCACGTCTCCATGGCCCACCCAGACATGCCCAGAAGTGTGTCCCTCCAATCCCTTGAGCAGATCTCAAGCCAATCGAGTGGACACTCCAGCTTGTCACAGTATAACCATATGAAAATCGGCCTATTTTTTAACCTACAAAAAGAGACAACTTCTTATGGTTCAACCAAATATCACTTCTCCCCTTTCATAATGTAAATTCAGAGACATTGAGAGACATGTCCAAGGTGAGCAGCTGGTAAGCAGCAGGGCTGGAACTCAGGTGTGATTTATTTCAAATCCTTGACTGCTTCTAGTCTCTTTCATTTTGATAAATGGATGATTTCTAATTTGACTGTGTACACAAAGCCCCCCCTGGATCTTGTTAAGAAGCAAATTCTGATTCAGCAGGTCAGGGATGGGACCTGCAGACCTGCTTTCCCATGAAGTCCCAGAGATACCAAGGAGCAGGTATGAAATTCTCTTGCTTCTGTGACCCCAAGAGGGGCTAAGTTGTATCACCAGCAGGGTAGATGAGTAGCACTGCCCCTGCAATACACTTGTGAAGCTGAACAAATCTTTGGCAATATCTTTTTGAAACCTGCAGACCAAGCTGGCTTTAGGGTCATTCATGGGTGTATTGGGGGACACAAGTGTCCTAACCCTTTTCCATATTCAGCAAACTGGGTGTTTCCTGCTGTCTGTAGGTCACTCCCCACATCAGTGGCTGCATCAGTCACTGATGGCTTATGTTTCTGGTTCTCCAACTACATAGAAGAAGGGAGCCACTTGGGCCTGGGGACCAGACACATCAGAGATGTGACAAATCCTATACCTGGTGCAAAGCAGATTCACTGAGCACTGGTTACCAAATTGGCAGAGACAGGTGAGACCCATATACAAGTGACAAGGTGTCAGTTTGTTATCGATTATTACTACTGAATGGGGCAAAAGAGCTTGGCATTCACTGTGAGCCAGGTCCCAGGCTCAGGATGGAGTCCCGTCTGTGTGTGCCCACTGGCATCCCAGCTGAGAGTTTCCAGAAAGCAGCCTCCTCTGGGGCTTATACCCTGCTGTTACAGGGCAGGCTGAGCTAAAGGTTACAGAATACCATGTTTTTAGGCAGAACTGGAGCAGAGCCCACACAAGCCTGCCCATCCCTCCTGATATTCCCAGCACACTCAACAGTTAGTCTTGAGAACTCCATGGGCAGACAGGGAGAACCGGGCCAGAAGTGGGAGACTGTGCTGATTTAGAAGTCCAGAACTTCATCTCAAAGGGGCTCCCAGTGGTTTGGAAAATGGTTTGGACCAGATAGAGGATTAAATTTTATGCCTATATGAAAATGTGAGCTGGAATGATAGTTCTTCTCATCCGGGCATCGGAAGCCCAGTCTGATGAAGAACGTGACCCTGCCCTGTGTAGGGTGTCTTGGCCATCTTGCATGCTTCCCAGCAGGACCCCAATTCCAACCAACAGAGGGGGAAAGGAGAGGGGAAGGACAGACCCCCTTCCATTAATGGTACAACCTATGAGCTACCCAAATCCCTTCAGCTCCCATTCTACCAGCCAGAGCCCAGCATAAGTTCATCTAGCTGCAAGAGAGACAGGGAGATGTTTCTACCTTGCATGACACTTGCCTGGTGAAAGCATGGGAGTTCTTTACATTAGAAGAAAAGATTGATGGCCATTGGTGAGTATCCTGCTGCCTCAGCCCAAGCTCCCAGCAGCCTCAATAAGGCAATAGGTCTCATACTATCCCTGGTCAGGGTGCAGTGGAGCTACAGCACCAGAAGCATGACAGCAAGAAGGTGCCACCAGACTGGAGGAAAGGACAAAGACAGGGCTCCTTGGCCCAAGAGAGGCCAAGATCAAAAGCCAGGGGAGGACCCAGGGAAGATAGGCTGGCCCTACTGAATAGTTTTTTCCCATCATTCACTCCACAAGCAACTATTGAGCACCTGTTGTATGCCAGGCACTGGGCACGGACTCATAGAGCTCAGATGCAGGGGTGAAGGAGTCAGGAACCCACTTGCAGGATACCCCGTGGAGCGGGCAAGGGTCCCAACAGAAGATCCCTGACTTCAGCTCACTGCTCTGGATGGCTGTTGGAGTTTGGAGGGGTAGGGTTTGGAGGGGTGAGTAGGAAGGAAACCACCAGATCAAACCAACATGGGTGCCAAGGCATGACCAAAGCTTGGGACTGCCGCCTGTGACCCCAGTGCCGCTGGACAGTTCCTCCTTCCAGAGAAGAGTGACAGCAAGGAGGCTCAGCCTCCACCCCACAGGTCCCCTAAATGCCCGTCATAAAGGCAATCTCTGTGCCCCACAATGACACCCTTCACCCAGGGCAGGGTAGCCTACTGGCTGGAGCTGGGCTCCACTCCCTGGCTGATTTGAACTTCATGGCAACTTATTTACAGTCTGTCTTTCCATTGTCCCCTCACCTGGGCACAGGGGTCACATTGGCACCACCCCACAAGGGTGCAAAGGTGAAATGAGTTGACAGAGGTGACGTGTAGAGCCCCGTCCCTGGGATGGGCAAGGGCGTGGATGTGTGCACTGTTGTCCCTGCCTGTGTACCCAAAAGATACAGCCCTGTCCTGACCCTGGTCCTGTGGGCAGGACCTTGTTTAGAAAGAGAGTCTTGACAGCATTAAGTTAAAGGTTTGGAGATGGGCCTTAGAGGTGGGCCCCAAGGCCAATGGCAATGCCCTAAGAGTTGGAAGAAGCGAAGACCTGGAAACAGAGGTGAAGGCCCCGTGAAGCTGGAGCAGACATGGGAGGGATGCAGTCAGCAGGCCACCTGCAGCCACCAGAAGCTGTAAGACACAGGGCGCCCTCTCCCCTGAGCCTTTGGGTGTGCATGACCCTGCAAACACCTTTACTGTGGACTTCTGGGCTTCAGAACTGCAAGGGAACAAACTTCCGTTGTCTGTTGTCATTGCTCACTTGGCAACCCTAGGAAACCGGTCCACCACCCCATGGGCCCCGCAGTGCGGGAAGAGTTTGTGCCAGTGTTTCTGGGACTGTCCGAAGGCCAAGCAGAGCCGAGCCTCCTGCACCAGCTGCCCACTGCACCCCCAGGGGAGCTCACCCCGGAGATGAACCGACTCAAGGACCTAAAGCAGCTCCTTCTCAGGGGTAGCGCCATGATTTCTACTAAATCTGGGGAACTCACGTGTCACCAAGAGGTGGGAATGGGCCACGTGTCTCTTCCTTGATGGATCTTCTGCCCCTGGGCTGGTCCACAATGCTTCCAGGTAGATGCTTGTGGAATGAACATTCCATCAGGGGGGACCTTGGTCCCCACCCTTGGGGTCAGCAGTGCCCTGCCCTGGGAGTTCCCCAGGTGAAATGCCATCTGCTTGCCCTCCATCCTCCAAGTGTGGGTGGGGGACATTCCCCATTTTGGACATTTGGGGTTCTTCTCCAGGCCACCTTTGAAGGAAGCCACTCCGTGTCTGGCCCTGTATTTCCTTGAGAGCCTCAGCCCATTGCTCCAGGTTTCTGGCTATTGCCGCCTGTTGCTGTGTGGCCCTGTGTTAGATCCCTTCACCACCTGGGGCTCCCTGAGGACTGATGTGCTGCTAAGTCTGTGCCTCCCACATCCTCCTGTCCCCATTTAGAGGACTTCTTCCTGTCTGTCCCTCCGATCTAGCCAGGCCCCATCCCCCTGCCCCACCCACATCCTGAGGGATGATCTGGTCCCACCCTCCCTGTGAGCAGAGGCTACCACAGAACCAAGGCCAGGGGGTTGCCCTCTGCTCTCTGGCAAGGTGGCTGTCCTGTGACCCCAGATTCCTGCAACAGGAAGCTCAAAGGCTGTGTTTCCTGGGACAAACAACCCTGGGCACCATGGGAAGAAATTGGCCCCTGCACGCCGGTGAGCCTGACACTGTCCCAGCCCTGAGGAGCGCATGTCAGGAAGGGAAGGATTGTGCAGGGCACAGGGGCCAGAATACCAGGCAATCATGCTACAACCAAGGGGTGAGCAGAGGATGGATTCTAGTCCCAGAAGGACAGGGGAGAAGCAGGGTGGTGCCCCGGAAAGACCCAGGAGCCAGGAGAGCAGGTGGTAACAGATGCCACTCCTTAGCTGTGTGACTGTCAGTCAGTGGCTCACTCACTCCGAGCCTCTGTCCCCTTCTGTACAAGGAGGTCATGATGAAGCTCAGCACTGCAGGCGCCATGTCAGACCCCGAGGTGTATGAACGCAGCCCCTGGAGGACCCTCCCCAGCCAGGTCTGCTGAGGCCACTAGGGACAGAACAGAGAAGTAGCTGCCTTCTCCAAGCCCCCAAAACAGAAGTGGGTCTGCCCCCACCCAGCCCTCCAGCCCCTTCCGCACCTCTTCACACCCGAGCCCTCTCTGCTGTGCATTTCAGTTTGTGTCCATCTCTCATCCACAACAAACAGAGCCATGTCCCGGGCACCTCTGGGTCTGTGGGTGATAGATAGGGGTCTGGAGCCTCCACCGGCCTTGGGCTGTTCTAACCTTAGGGGCCGAGAAGAGCTGGAGGGAGAAAGGGGATGAGACAGCATGCACATGCACGTACACACACACACACACACACACACACACACACACACACACGGGCTGGGGCCAGTGGAAAGCACAGCCCAGGCTGTGGGAGATGGAGGTAGCAGGGAGACAGGAGACAAAATTTCACAGGCCCCCAAGCCCAGCTGGAGAAATTGCTTCCAGCGGGTGTTTGTGGCTGGCCCTGGCCCTGGTGCTTGGTGGATCCAGAGGTCTCCTCGCAGACACATAGACTGAGAGACGGGAGCATGGCCCGGCCCAGGACCTGCTGCAGAACTCCCCAAACCAGCCTGGTGTGCAGCCTGACTGCCTGAGCCTGAGCAGGGCGGTTCCGCTGGCGGCTGCTCCTAGGAGGGGCCCTGGGTAACCTCGAGCCCGAAAGGCAAGACCGCTGGGCCGGCTGCTGCCCCTGCACCCTGCACACGGACTCTGCCTGCGGCAGATCCCAGGTTGACAGAGCCAGCGGGGGAGAAGCTCAGAGCTGCTTGCGAGGAAACTCACTGCGCAGTGAAGGATACAGCCAAGTTCCAGTCTCTGCTTTTCCTTCTAGTTAACAAGAATCAGCCTTTCAGCAGGCGTTCAGGGCACAGTGTGTACTGCTGACGTTGCACAGCAGGTCTGTGAACTCACTCCCAGTGCACAGTTGAAACTTTATACCGCTGGGTACCGCCTCCCTGTGGAGTCTGGCAGCCGTCCTGCACTCTGCTTCTGTGAGGTTGGCTGTGTTATAAACCTGGCATGAGTGGAACCACAGGGCATTTGTTTGCCTATTTCAGACAGTGTCCGGTCTGTTTCACTTAGCAAAATGTCCTCAGGGTCTGCCTGTTGCTGTGCATTTCAGCATTTCCTTCATTTTCCAGGCGGAATGATATTCCATCATATGTAAACAGCAAAAAGGCAACCTGCAGAATGGGAGAAAAGATTTGCAAGCCAGATATCTGACAAGGTGCTAGTATCAAAAATGCAGAAGGAACTCCTATAGCTCGATATCAAAACAGGCAAATAGCCTAGCCAAAAAGCGAGCAAAAAACTTCTCCCCAGGAAGAGAGATGCAAATGACCAACAGGCATATGCAAGATGCTCTGTGTAGCTGATAAGCAGGGAAACTCAAAGGGAAACCCCGAAGTTATCACTTCACACCTGTCAGGACAGCCGTTATCAAAATAAGATGAAATAAAAAGTAAATTGGAATAAAATACCAAAACATAGCAAGAGTTGATGAGGTTGTGGAGAAATCAGAACCCCTGTGCACTACTGATGTGAATGGAAAATTTTTTCCTGCTGTGGAAGAAGGTGTGGTAGTTCCTTAAAAAAAAAAAAATTGCCCAGGCTGGGCTTGAACCTGAGATCCTCCAGCCGCTGCCTCCCAGAATGCAGGGATTAAAGGGTGCATCACCACACCCAGCTACTTTTGGGTGCTTATATTGTGGCAAATCGGAACACCTCAGCGCAGTAGACAAGTGTTACAGCTCTGAAGCACAGCCGAGTTTTACAGCTCAGTGTTACAGCTCTGGGTTGCAGCTACCGCAATTTGAAGACTCAAATTCCGTGGATTTGAAAGTCACTCTGGGCTCAGAGTAATTCGTTCTCCAAAGTCTGAGCGCTTCACCAGAAACAGGATCCTCCTTATATAGGGATCTACAGGGTAAGCGAGCATGCTCACTGAAGCAGAGGGGCGGAGTTACAGAACATTCCTGAAAGGGGCAGAGTTAACAGAACATTCCTGAAAGGGGTGGAGTTATCAGAACATCCCTGTAAGGGGGTGGAGCTAAGAGGACATTCTTGGGAGGTTCCTCAGTCCAGACAGTTACAAAACACTTTGATACATTGGGCAGGAGCACTGCACAGCACAAACTTACATTTCTGGAACAAAACATTTTGTGGAAAAAACATGAAGCCCAGGCAAGGGCCTGTCTTACTGTGTATTATTGCTCTATCACTTATCCAAAAGAATTCAAAGCAGGATTTCCCTCGTGCTCGCTGCAGCATTATTCAGAGTGGCTGAGGCGTGGGAACTCCCGATGGAGAATGGATACTGTTCTTTTATCTTTCCTTCTCCACTGCCCAGGGTTCAGAAGGGGATGATCCCAAGGGCGTCTCCTCGTGCTGTTCAGTGATTCTCAGAGAGGGGCGCCACAAGGCACAGGGCCAGCTGGTGCCACTCAGGGTCCCTGCCCTGCTGCCGGCTGGACAGCTCTGCCCCCTGGTGGTAAAGTAAGAGGATTGCAGCGTTAAAATGTTGAAAATGAGAACGATTCCGAGTGACCCTGTCATAAAACTTTTTATTTCCACACGGAGGAGGAAGTGGCTGAAATGCCCCAAGGCTGGTGGCAAAGTGGGTGAGGACTTGGCTTGGGTGCTTGGGTCTCCTGCCTGGGGTCTTGGTCCTTGCCTGAGGGCTGCCCCTTTCTGGCTTCGTAACCTTGAGCCAGTGGCTGGAGTGGCTCCGTGTCCCTCCCTCGGTCCCTCCGTGTGGAGCAGGGTGGCATGGCCTTCTTTGTGGGGCTGGCGATAGGGTAACAGGGGTCATTGTCGTCCTAACACCTGCGGGGCCTGGGGACCTCGTTCCAGCCTCAGCTGGGCCCAGGCAGCTCACTTACCACGTCCTCTGGGAGGGGGCTGGTCTGTACAAGAGCCATTTGGGGCGTATTTAAATAACCCAGCCCCCACGCCTGCGTTCCTCAGTTTCTGGCATCATCGGTCTGGACTGGCCCGGGAATGGGTTTTAAAGTACCCTGGTGCTGGGCGTGATGGTGCACCTATGATCCCAGCACTCAAGAGGCTGAGGCAGGAAGATTGTAGTGACTTTGAGGCCAGCCAGGGTTAGACCCTGTCTCAAAAACAAAACAAAACAAAAAAACCAAAAATATTTTTTAAAAAACTATCTCATAGATGTATAGTAAGATCAGTAAAACAACACAGGGAATCTGGGTTTTTTGTTGTTGGTTTTTTGTGGGTTTTTTGAGACAGGGTCTCACTATGTAGCTCAGGCTGGCCTTGAATTTGAAGCACTCCTCCTGCCTCAGCCTCTCAAGTGCTGGGATTACAGGTGTGTGCCACCATGCTTGGCAGGAATCTGTTAATAGTTCCAAATGCATACGAGAATTTAGAATTTGATGAAGAAGTTCTTTCAAATAGTGAGAACAGGTGATTTGGTTACTAAGTAGGACTGGGATGGCAGTGTTGCCATCTGGAAATAAAAAACGGGATACATAATGCTGGTAAGTAATCGCTGGAGCTGTTCACGGATACCCCAGTTTCCTCTCCCGCTGACCTGGGACCTATTCTGATCGAGGAAAAGTAAGCAGAAGAGACAGACCCCTAAGAGGAAGCATTGAGGAGCCAGGGTGTGACTTTTGTCTCTCCACACCTCCGCCACAGAGACTAACAATGTCCCCAGTGACGTGCTCTGTTCATCTGTGTCCCCGAGCCCTCAGCTAATGAAACACAGATGTGTATCATGAGGAAGAAATTAGCCTTGGTTGTTTTCAAATATAGGCCCATGGGATTCTTTGTTACTGCTGCATATGCTGGCTAATCCTAGCTGACGTTCCCAGCATTCAGGTTACATTTTACAGACACCAAAGACTTAAATGTCAAAAATGAAGCAAAAACTACTGGAAGAAATCATGAGAGAACTATTTCAAATTGTGGAGTAGGGAATGCCTTTGTAAGTAAGAAATAAAACCCCAAAGCTATGTTTTAAAAAATTGATATATTTATGTACAAATAAAAAAAAAATCTATAAGACAAAAAACTATTGTAAGCAGGGTCAAAATATAAAATAAAGATGAGGGAAACACAACTTGTAGAAAAAGGATTTTATTTCATGTACACACCGTATAAAGATTTCCTACAAATTAATAAGAAAAAGACTGACGATGACTCAATATAAAATGGACAAAATAAATTTTGACTGAGTGCTCATAAAGAAGCAAATTAACCCGGCTCTTCCTTGTGTGAAAAGATAGTCAAGATCATTCAGGTTATGCAAAATGCAAATTAAAAGCACAAATGAAAGCCCTATTTCACCTGTCCTACCAGCAAAGATTAAAAAACGTTGTGGATAAGAATGTGGGAAACAGACTGTCATATTTTCCCAGGACAAAAATAAATTGGAACAGCCTCTGTAAAGGGATATTTGATAATATCTCTCAAAATTAAAAGTGCACATAGCCTTTGACCCAGTGATTCCATTTTTAGGGATTTATCCTGCAGCTGTACTTTACAGATGAGAAATGCATATAAACAAAGTTATGCACTGTGCATCATTTGAAATTGCAAAAAAAAAAAAAAGGAAACAAGACATATACTCATCAATAAATAGCTGTTTACAGAAATGACAGCCCTGCACACAGTGACAAAAAGAAACCCTTTGTGATCTTTTGTGACCTAAGAATCCTTGCAGAGAGCAAGGTGCAGGGCAGAGTGAGTATCATGCTGCCATTTGTAGATGAATAAAAAAATATTCAAGCTACTTGTATAAGGTATGCCTTGGGAAGGGAACTTGGTGGGCCTTGGAGAGGTTTGGAGGAAGATTCTACCTATCTGAAAGACAACTTTAATTAAGGAAGAAATAAAAAACCCTGAATGTAATTAGCCCTACCAGAGCTCCTCAGCATAAGCCCATAGCTAGGACCCATTAAACAATGAAATTAAGTGTTTATTTGTTTCTGAGCATTGGAAACTATTATGTAAGCCTAGATGCACCTGAAATCTCATACCAAGAAGGTTCAAGGCAATTGACTGTAATTTCCTGCTGCATTGAGTTTCAGATATTTCTGAAGCAGGCAGCATTTCTTCAGAAAAGCCTAAAACTACAATATTTTAAGAAGGTCAACTCTAATTCCATTGTGGTGGAGAGGATTTGCTTTGTTTTGCTTTCTGAGTGAAGCTATCCAGTTGCTGCAGAATGGCAAATATATTTTCTGTCCTCTTCTCTTCTCGCTGCCATGAAGATTATGTTCCCAGCTTCCTTCTCAACAAAGAAAGCTAAGATCTGTCTTCGCCCATGTGGAGAACTTTCTGTTGGATGGTGATGAACACCAACCTGCTATCCCTCGAGGAGAATGACAATGACAAGTCAGGGACCCAAGATGCTTCTGTCTTCCAACCCCACATTGCCCATTCTGGGAGCCTTGTGCCCCAGGTGAGCAGAAGGAGCAATAGACTCAGGGAGACCCAGGCTTGAATCCTCACCGTGTTGGAGGGTTTATGCAGAACCCCGGACTTCCAGCTCCCCAGGCAGAGCCCTGACCTCACTCCATCCCTGCTGGTCTGCATACAGCACCTCTGTGAGATTTGCGACCCTTCTGAGGCCCTGCATGTTGCATTCACTATTTGCCTTGTCCACATTTAAGTCCACCTTCTCCTGCTTCATCTCTCCCCTTCCCGACCTGCTTCCGGTTCCCAGGACACATTCCACAGTGGACTCCTCACCTTCCAAAGTGTGCTGCTGTCTCTCTCCGGGAAAGTGTCTCCTTGCTGAGCCTGACAGCCATTGCTGAGGAAGAGTCATCAACACAGGACCTTGTGTTGCGGGGAGCAAAAACGGTCACCCCAGAGGGCTGCCTGGCTGAAATTCCTTAAGAGAACACTGAGCTGCTGCTGGTT